GTCTTGACATGACTGAACTGCTCTAAGGTTAGGCTCTACGATAATCGATATCGGAAACCTACTTTGATAATTTGTCAAAACCAATTGACGTTTCATGAGATAGGGAATGCACTGTATCCTAGAAACTTTCACAGAAAGCTGACAATTCAAAAGAAGAGTTTAACCTCGGGCTAAGCAGCACAGTGGTTAAGGCAAAAAACGGGGGAATGCGGACGCGGGAAAATTAAAAAGAAAGAAAACGATAAGAAAAGGAAAGGAGACGCATGCAGTGTTTGCCTTACCTCGGGATTCTCAGCAAATTTGTGCGCGAGGCGTGTGCAGGCAAAGATACCTGTGAGTTTGTAATTGGAAATCATCTTGAACTTTGAAGACGGCAGGATTTTGTAGAGGATACGTCCACTCTTGTTCATGGCCTACGAAACAAACAAGAAATTTCGAACTGAGGAGAGGAAGATGAAAGATGCCAGCGCGGACACGAAGGGGTGAAAAAAAACTAAGAAATAAACCAACGACACAGAAAAACGGAAAAAACGATGAGCTGGAGAAAGTGTGCCAGGGTAGCAGACCGGTCACTGTAATGGAGCCTAGGGCAGGAATACAAGGGAGAAGGGTGACCCTTAAGCCAAAATAATAACCATAGGTAAGACTGAGAAACACACTACAAAAGTACCTAACAGACAGAAGAGGTAAAAAAGTCGGATTGTTTCAATTCAAGCCTGATTATGCGAGGACTATAAAATGGTAAGAATTCTAGCAATGTTGAACAGAACGGTTCTGTAAGGATCGTTTCCCACAATATAGTGAATGAAGAAGACGATCCGTTGCTCACCACACTAGACAGAAAAATTTGTTACGAGCTGATACTGCTTGTCAGATTAAAAAAATCAAAAAAGATAGAATTGCGAATGCGTGAAAACAAGGCTGGCAGCGGAAAGTTGTTAATGATATCATCACAAACGTCGCTCACACCATGAGAGCAGACGGAGAGTTCAATCCCAGGAAAAGAAACATAGTGGCACAGGCCTTGAGCCTGAACTTTCGAGCTATGTTTTAATGAAACAGCCTATTAACTCTTCCTTACCTTATCGGCTAGAGGGCGGCGAAATTCCGTTTTAGGTTGACTGCTGACAACTGATGGGACAGTAAATGATTTCATATTCCTTGCAACTGGCATAAGGAGTCCAAAAACTTTGGAAAACGGGCAAATTGTGTTGTTCCACAAGTCCAACAATTTTTCTACAGGATGCAACTACCTTATCAGGAAACGGAGTATAGTAGATTTGCTAGATCATGAAATGGCGAACCAAATTCTGAAGTGTGCTTTCGTTTTGAAGGGATAACTTAATGAGGGTCGTAATAGTGCTGATTGTGCTGTCTTATCCCAAAATATTTCAGTCAGGACAGGACCTGCAGAAGCTAGACTCGGAAAAAATGACGACTTGGTAAGCATTAATTTTTCTCTTTGATTCTCGATGCCCTCATTAATCTGAATATATTTTATAAGAACACGTACCAACCTCTTCTTCCTTCTGCACATTTGACAGCAAATTACAGATTTTTTTAAATTTAAACTTGAGGTCTTTGAAGTGCATGAAATGTCTAATCATCAGTAAGTCCATATCAAACTTTTATGAGTAGTTAGTGATCTGTCTCTAGTAGCATGCAGAACTGTAATTTTTACTCGAGTATGAACAGCATGGAATTTTGAATCCAAGAACGCAGGCTGTTTTTACAATTATTCTGCAATTAAAGCATTTGCTTTACTTAAACCGAAAAATACCCTAGCTTCAAGTAAAAAAAAAACATGAAAGTGGCGTAAGCTGCTACGAAATGAGAACAATTAAAAATTTTTTACCATGCATGTATTTTTAGTAAACCTTATTTGAATTTGCAAAGACATCGAAAAT